ATGGGGTTAACAGTTTGACTGTTGGTGTGTCCTCTAATACCCTTAAGCAAATGGCTTTATCTGGTATGGACCACAGGCATGCGGATCTGGTTGTAAAACATGCTCTCTATACAATAACCAATTTGTCTGGAAGGGAGAAGATTGCAGTAACTGCAAGCCTCACAATATGATGACTTTAAGACAATTCTCAACTCTTCAGTGATCAAATTTAGTAGTAGATGGCAGGCACTTGCACACTGTACTATAACAAAACTCTCCTTTTTTTGGTCTGCTGATCCTCTCAGTCTTAAAAAAAATGAAGAGCTACCAAAACAAAGACAGAATCCCATGAGCAATGGGAGGTCATGGGGAAGGAAGTGCACGCACAACCTTATGGAGAAGGCGAATGTGACTCTTATCTGAGGGTGACATGGGTGCACAGAGGGCATTGTCATGGAGGAGAATGGGACGCTGGCAATGGAGTTGCTCAGACATTGGGACATGGGAGAGGCTGTAATGAGACTTTGAAACAGGCAGATGGGGAAGCAGGGTGTCAGGGGAGAATTTTGTTGAGGGAGCTAGTCTTGGGGTATTGTGAGCTGAGCCTATAAAAGTGTAAACCACTCATTTCATTTTTTTTAAGTTTTTAAAAATCTCTTGTAAATGCCCTTTCAGTGCTCCCTGTGCCTGTTCCATAACACAAAAGCAGAGATTAACATGTCTGTATCCTGTCACTGCACCATTCGAATTTGTCCTGATGGAGCTCTTTCTTCAAAGAGAGAGAGAATGCAATATTTAAATTGTGTTGATCTTTTTCATCTACCATAAATATATCCATGTTGTGGCTGCTGAGCTGAGCATTTAAACAAGTATTGCATCCCTTTCTTTCCAGGAGCAAGATGTTGAAACTGTGCATGGCTCCGTTCATGTCACAATGTGTGGGGTCCCCAAAGGAAACAGGCCCGTCATCCTGACATACCACGATATTGGACTGAACCGTAAGTGAAACTTGTAATGCAGCAGCTCAGTAATGGCCTGCTAGAGTAGCTGGTCACTTATTCTCATTTTAGTTTGCTAATTTGCACTTTATCAAGTTACATTGTCCAACCTGTTTTAAAGGGGTTGAGATGATGCTGATTCCTTCAGGCTGCACTGAAGGCGAAAGCCACTAATGCAAAGGAGCCCAGGTTTATTGTTCAAAGTACATGTGGGCTGGCTGTCGGTCAAGGGGAGGGAAGGGTGTGAGGAGGGTTGGTAGGAATCTCGCTATGAATTTTTGCCCGTGGTAAAAGGCATTGGGACTAATGACAAGCATGGGTGGTACTACTCTAACCGCTGGAGTATGGATGTATGACTATATAATAAAGTATACTGTATTTTCTTAGCGGTGTCATTCCCCATCCCTTACCCTTCTGCATAAAGACTTTTCTCTCTGTCTCCTTTCATAACATCCCAACACAGCAGCTTGTTTCATACAAAAGCTCTTGCCTCTCTAAACCAGTTAGTCTCTAAAGTGCCACCCTGACTCCCCTTTTGCCCATAATCTGGTTTACTTCTTGCTCTGTAGATTTTTCTCTAAATTTAAATACCATGTCTGTAAATAAATTAACCAAAGTTGAAAGATTCTTGGGTCCAAAGTAATCCCAATTTAAGTAACCATTAAATGATACCGTAAAAACCATCTGATGGAGAGTGTATTTGGAGAGGCCTTGAAATTGTATGTCTGATAATGATGAAAGGAGCTGTGTATGCAGGAAGCTGGCAGGATCCTCTTAATTTTTTTTCTAGTGCTGTTGATTGGTACTGCAAGTTCTGTCCGTTTCACTTTAACAAGGTGCGGATGATGATACCGTGTCAGCAGTAGTTTGGCTGGGGAACTATTTTTTATTTGTTGAGAGCTAGGTGACTTTACTGGGTTTCATAGATAAGCTCTGGTACCAAAATCTACTGTTTTGCCCCTTCCATCACTCCACACAATATAGAATATTTTTATTTTAATAATATGGGCCAGTTTAGAAGTCTAAGTACAGCAGGGATGTCTACACACAACGCTACACAAAACGCTAAAGAAAATACTAAATGACTGCGCAGTAACCGCTATTCAGTCGGGTACGCATGTAAACATGCCCCAAGGATACTAAGTTATGGTCCTGTCAATGTTGTAGCTTTTTGCCAGGTGCTTCAGAGTAGCACACTATCTTGTAATAGTTGGGAATAAGAGCAATGACTCCTTTTCTTGCATTTCCTGCTTTTTTGTGTTTTGGTATAACCCTGTGAAAAATAAAGGGAAATTTAATGGATGCTTAAAAAAAGAAAAGCAAACTTGGATAAACATTTGGTCCCAATTTAAAAAAAACAAACCAAAAAACTAAAAGTGTAGAGAATACGTTCCCTGGGATTTGTGAGCCATAAACACTGAGTGCAACTGCCAAAGTAACTAATGAGATAAAGCAAGCTGACAGTAGCTACTTTTGGAGCAGGATTTTGTTGATCACTTGAAAAATAAAACCGTGTTTATTACTTTGAGAACATAACTTAAACTGGGTGAACTAAACTGTAGATTAGTGAAACCCTAAATCCCCACAGAGATGACCTTAAGAAACCTCAAACCACATTTTGTTAAGACTGCTGACTTGAAACAAGACATTCCTTTTTCCATCTTTTAACTATGCTCCTTTTCCCCCTAAAGACAAAACTTGCTTCACTCCCCTCTTCAACTTCGAGGACATGCAGGAGATCACACAACACTTTGCAGTCTGCCATGTGGATGCACCTGGGCAGCAGGATGGAGCAGCACCGTTCCCAGCTGGGTGAGTTGTCGGACTTTGCTTTCAGGCTTAGCCTGTTAAATGGTGGGAAGTGAATTCCTTGGTCTGTTAATTTTAGCTCAGGTAACCTCCATGCAAGTCACGGAAGTTGTGCGGTATTTTGTGGATGAGCCAAGGTCAGATTGGGACTTCTTAAATTTACACTTAAGTATCTTGGTGTTTCTTTAACATAGCAAACAACCCTCTGCTCTTAAAGTAATTTTTAGGCAATGTGTACAGCTGTCAGTTTAAAATGAGTTGGCTAAATCTATGTCTAAGGAACTTTTTTTGCAGCTTTTTATTCCTGTTTCCTCATAGCTTTTTTTTTGTTCTCAGTAGAAGCAGAAGAAGAAATTGGTGGAATAAAATAGTGGTATTAACTGCTATGTAGAATTACCCCATTACAATCAGTCCTTTAGAGAGAGACAAGATGGAAAAATGCTAGTGAACAGAACTGAAAAGGCTAATATTAACTAGAAAATCTGAACTGCAGAATATTTAAGACAAATTGAGTTTTAGTAGAATGACCAGGTGAGGTTTTTGTTGACTTCTAAGCATGTACGTGTTAATCCTCTTGGAAGTTTTGGTCTGTTCTTGGATAAAGTCACGTACTAGTAGAACCTGCCAACATCTAAAAGGGACTGTGTTGGCCAAAATACGTTTAACATCTTAGTCAAATAACACAAGGGTGCCATAAAATTTAAGATTAGTCTTCAATAAAATTGAGTATGATGGAAGGAGCTGCCAAGGGAGAATGAGTAGCAGCTCTGCTATAGGAACCAGGGATGAAGGAAGGAGTGGACTTGTACACCTGTGGAGAAAATCAAATTAATTCCTTTCACTGGTGTGGCAGTGAGAGGTCATTGTAGAGTGTGTACCAGATTCTCAGCTTGTGTGCAGAAATAGCTCTGCTTCGAGTTGCACTATGGAGTTACAGCTGATCTAGTACAGGCTGTTTTCGTAACAATATCTGAGAAGTTCATCTTCTGCAGGTGTAATCTAATTAAAAATGGTTTGCCAGTGTGTCATATGCTAGTTTGGACAGCAAAATAAGCACATGTTTGCTAGTGTAGTATGTGATGGAACAAATGAATCTATACGCAGGCTTTAGTTGGTGTAGAAGAGTCTTCAGTATGTCCTTAAACAATGCAGCAAGGTTCCAGTGTTGACCTAAACCGGAGTAGCAGGTCTGCACTCTACAATGGGGTTGCTTTTTTTTCATTATTTAGGAAACAGCTATAATGTGAATCATGGATGGGTGAAAGGCCTATCCTTAGCCATTCAAGGAGATGGCATCAGGAACATTGCTTCAATCTCTAGCAGGGCTCCTAGGGTTAAATACTTAATTGGCATCTTGGCTCTTGTGTGTACTTGTCATTTTGTCATGTTGGGGAAGTTTTTTTTTCAACACTTCAGAGCTAACTTTATAAGTTTGCAATGCCCAGGTAGAGACACCTTTGTTCAGAACTTTTTTAACACTTAAGTATTGATCTAGCAGCCCACCAAGTCCCAGTGTTGATGGGGAATTTCTGGTTCCAAGGAAGGTAGTAAGCCAGATGCATCTCCCATAGCTTGCCCATTTTGCAAAAGTCCTGACACTGCACATCACAACTTCCCCTCGGGGTAGCAGGGGTTTTCTTTGTTTTCAGAGATGATGGGAGATACCCTGACACAAACATGCACAAAAATAAGACTTTTGGTGAAGTCTGTCCCTGTAAGTGAATGCAGAGCAGTAGTGTCTAAGAGTAGGGTTCCAGGTTCACTTTTTCTGTGCCACTGAGTTGACTAGGCAGGTGGGTCCACCCTTAAAGTTGGCCAAATTTTCAAGGATACAAGAGATGGAATCCAGATTGGTTCTGTGCCTGGGGGTATGGGAGATCCCATGTTGCTTGTGTTGTACCTTAATCACTGAGCTGTCTGCTAGTCTGGGATGACTCTTCCATCCTGCTCCCCCCTCTCACCTTCCTGCCCCTGCCCCCCAAAACAAATTTACGCTGCTGTATTTTTCTTTCTCCATAACAGCAAAAGCTTTAACTTTTTAATTGAAATGTTTTCTTGTTATCCCTAATTTATTCTATCCATGAACACTTTACCCATGTATAAAATCAAGGTAACTTATTGTACTGATGTGCAAGAGGCTCAGTTGCTGATATTTTTAAAAAAATGTATTGCATCTTTGGTTACAGTGAGCCCACAAGTATGAAATGTTGAATGTACTATTTAAATCTCTGGCCAGAATTGTAACTGACCCAATCTACTTCAATCCAAGGAAGCCTACGGGCCTGGAAAATGATTACTAAACTTTACAAACAAATATTTCCCATAGATACATGTATCCCTCTATGGATCAGCTGGCTGAAATGCTCCCAGGGATCCTGAAACAGTTTGGGTGAGTAGAGAATCATGCACTAACAATTGAGTCTGTTTTGATTCTGACTTATATATGGTCTCAAATTCATTTAGCCTATAACGCACTAAATAAACAGTCCTGAAATTGTTTGTATTTAATCATACTGTTAAACATATGAAGTATCTCTACATTAATCAGTTTTTAGTTTGAAGGAATCACTGTTGCTGCAGCACTTCTCCCCTTGTAGACTCTGCATTGTACTAGTCTCCCTCCTCCAAGCAACTTAATTTTAATGGCTGTGTCCTTGTTTTGAGAAGTTGTACTTAAGAATTTTTTTTAAAAGCAGTTCATTTGCAAACTCTCAGCTGTGATGACAAGACTATTTGTTCCATTAATTGCACTTAAATGGTTCAGAATATAAAGTAGCTAGTGCAAGACTTTGAATAGATCTATCTTTTTGTCTGGTTACATTTACTTTATTTAATTCTCAGCATCTTTCTTGTGTGAGAGCATGATGCATAAGACTATCAAACAAATTTTGAAAACATTGTAGTGGGTGGGGGGAACTGAGTTCCGCCTCCAGCCCCCCAGTTTGATGTTATTGATTTGAATAAGTGCACCTCCAAGTTTTGGGGTTTTTGGTTAAAGTACCATTTTGTTTTTGACATGGTTTTGTCTTGCCTTAGCATTCTCCTTTCTGTTATTTAATGACCCCGCTGTAATAAATCCTTTTCTCTTTTCACCAAATTAATATAGATGCATTCAGTGCACATTATTTCTACAGATCATTTCGATTTTTGGCTTGCTCTTGTGACTGAGTAGCCCTTACAGTATATGACTTTGTTCCATGTCACTTCACCCTTGGAGAGAAATTGGGGAGATGTGGTTTAGCAGCTACAAAATGAGGTCTCTTTTTATTTAGCCTTCAGAAGTTTCATGGCTGAGTCCTCAGTTTTCCCTGGCACTTCAAGTAGCTGTTTCACTTCCAGAATCGGAACAATACTTTTCTTCATCAGTATATTTATCTAAAGACATAGTTACTAGCCCTACACTAGAATGCAAATGGACAAATATCTGATGCATCTAACTTCAGCTGAGACCCAGATGGCATACTAAGCTACTCTGGGGTTGGTCCACAGCTTGTATAAATTGGTGCAGCCCTCCTGACACTAATGGAGAGACAATAGATTATACTACCTATGAGTCTGCCCTGTAGTAAAAGCAAAATGGCATGTTGATCTGAACGGGGACAATCTTTTTTTGGTTCGTGTTGGGTTTTTTTTGCATTTACTTTGGTGCACTTCTAATATACTTTATTTGTTCTGGGTAGGCTGAACAGTGTTATTGGAATGGGAACTGGAGCTGGTGCCTACATCCTAACTAGGTTTGCTGTAAGTTTTTCATTGCACTTTTCTTGGAAGCTAATCCTCCTGACATAAGCAGATCCTTCCCACCCTGCCATAATTACTGATTCAAGCAGTCCTGGTTTTAAGTGAAATAACAGGATCAATGTCCATTTGAGTCCTGGACTCAACCCAGTTAATTGAAAGTTGTTTTTTTAATGGGAGTTCCCTGTTTAAACCCAGGGTGGAGATGATGCTAATCAGTAATGCTTTGCATATACCAATAAAATTGTTTATGTACTTCCTGCCCCTCCCCAAATAATTCTTTAAACTGTCTACTGTTGGTTTATAAAGTGTCTGAGGAAGTCTTGTGTTCACACAATTTGCAGCTAAACCATCCAGAGATGGTGGAAGGACTTGTTCTCATTAATGTAAACCCTTGTGCTGAAGGATGGATGGATTGGGCAGCAACTAAGGTAAATGAATAAAAATCGACTTTTGTTATTTCACCTTAAGATGTGGAGCTGAACAATAGGTTAAGTGCTAATGATCAGTTAACTAAACTTATTTCGTTTTGTTACTAAGATGTGGCTTCAGACTGGAAATATGGATACTAATTGCTTTTGGTTCTCTTTTCATGTAAAAAGAAAAAAGTGCCTTCTGTAGTGTAATTGATTTTTACTTCTTTTAATTATAATTGATGTACCCAATAATGTCGTCATACTATAGTTAAGTGCTATTGTATATATTTGTCTCTTCAGGTTTATTAGCTCTCAGGAAGAAATAATCCAATTGAACCTAAATGTGGGCTAAATCTGAAACCCTTTTTTAAACTATATTTTCAAAACAGTATAACATCTGATTCCTGCTTGCCCGTGGTTTATCTGCTAACAGTCTGCAGTGAGAATTAGATTTGAAAAAAATGAAGTTTGCTAAAGGAGGTGTGTGTTCAGAATCTAGTAGGAACAGCATGTGCATGAACAAAAATAGTAAAAGTATGCTGTATTATAGGATTGCCAAGCATGTTGCCACTTCTAGCAGTGGCAGCTCCATGTGCAGGAAAAATCCTTGATATTTTTATATATTTTGCTACCTCCTAATCTGAAGATTAAAGGATACAAAAGTACATAAGTGGTAAGGAATTTAAGCTTCAAAAACCTTTCAGAGTTCCAACAGGTCAATAATAGGTTTAATATGATGTATGTCTGTCATATACACCATCTTTATGCACCATCTTATATATATAATTTGATCATAAACACATTTCAAACCTTCCTGAAAATGTGCTTCTTGTCCTAGCACACTACTTAAGATGTGTATCTATATCTTAATTGAGCTAGGACAAGAAGCACATTTTCAGGCAGGTTTGAAATGTGTTTATGATCAAATGCATGGGTGTTTCTTAACCACATGGAGAAGGCTTAATGGACAAATCCTCATAGTTAGAAAAATTCTGTGTAAGCTGAAAGAGATGTTTTGGATACTTGAAAAGGCAGCATCTACCTTTCAATATCAAGAAATCTGCTCTGGTTGTAAAGAGGGCTGTTGTATAGATCTTTCCATAGTATTGAGAGCTACAAAGAGGAGCTTTCATACCCTTTAATCTGGGAAATAGTCCCTCCTCACCCAAACAGACTCCCAGAAGGCATGGGATAACTGGTCTCTGAAATAAGTGGGTCACCTCTCCCAATATTCCTAGTTTGCTTAAATTCCCTTGTGGCCCTGTCCCACCTTTACTTACCACTTACTAAGGGTCATTACATTTATCAGGTCTCCAATGGTACTGTTGAATTGTGTGACCCTTTCTTAAATGTTTTCTACTTGTTCTCAGATGTATAGCTGCAGTTGTCTTGCAAACCAGCCTTGTGATCTTGACAGTGTTTGTTGGATCCTCTTTCACAAACAACTGTGAAAGATGGGGAAAACTCCCACATGCTTGTCACTTTTTTTTTTTTTTGTCCAGACATCTAGGAGGAATGATTATTTTAAGCTTAGGTGTTTTTTCTCTAACTGGTCAGTGTTAAGCACATTAACACAACACATACCTTAGCAGCCAGTTTTCACACTGCATAAGCTCCAAGGATGTCAAGAGTTGTATCCTATGGATATTCTCCCAGTTGGGTTTGTATTATGCTTTTGTGACACCTGGTAGTTGCAGGAGATTAGTTAGGTCAATACCTGACCTAAGCAGAGGGGAGTAGTCTAACCACTGCTAGTTTTCAGGCGCTCTTTTGAAATGTAAAAATAAATAAATAAAACATTTTATTTCATTTAGATTTCAGGATGGGCTAACGCCCTGCCAGATATGGTCATCTCGCATCTTTTTGGAAAGGTAAGTTGGCACTACTTCGTTTATCTTTCATAAATTGTGTTCCACGATACCTTCCTTCAATTTACCACAGAACCATTAATCATGTCTTATGTTTTAATTTTTCCTTATGCACAGAATACTTCACACTTTAGATATTTCATATTCCAACTGCCTTGTCACTGAAGCTTGATCTGCTGCCTGTAGAAGCAGTTGTGTGAAACTATATTGTGAAAAGGTCATAGTACAGTATGGATGCACATCTGTAAAGACTAAGTACAGTATAGTGACAAAATTAAAAAACTACAGGAGCAGTATTAATTGCTCTTTAAGATGCACATTGTTGAAATAACTGTGCTGTCAAGTTGTAGGCAAACTTCAGTCATTTCAGTAAAAAAAAAAAAAAAAAAAACAACAACAACAACAACTTTTTTTTAAAGTGATGGTATAGGAGCTGGGGTTTTTTTGGTGTTTTTTTTTTTTTTTTACATCCTGATACGAGAACCAGTATACAGGAGAGCAGCATTCCTAGTACTATAACAGTAAACTCCATAAATCTGGAAAACAGTTTACTGATCAAAGACACAAATTTTTAAAATGCTTGTCTGCCTTAATGGCAACACCTTTAATTTCATCAAGGTTTTATAGTGAAACTCTGGAACCATAATGTAAAAGTACTTGAAGCTTAGAAGCTCTTCTGAAACTGAATGCTGCACTGCATATACTTTTGTAATTTCAACCAACAAACCTAAGTTAGATAATGGTATTTGAGTGCCAAATGCTCTTTTTTCCCCCCTCAGTGTTCCCTGGTTGATTTGAGCCATGCGTAATTCTGATACATGTGTAATGATCTTACTACTAAAATAGACCTTTTTCAATGTAGGAAGAGATTCACAGCAACCCCGACCTGATTCATACTTACCGCCAACATGTTATCAATGACATGAATCCAACCAATCTTCATCTCTTTGTCAACTCTTATAACAGGTAAAAAAAAAAAAAAAAAAAAAAAAAAAAAAAATTAATTCTCTTGATCTTTGCAGTGACTTGTGTTATTTGCCAGTCCCTTGGACTGTTGCTTATTGCATGTTCAGTACCAGTGCTATCAAACAATTGCATGGGGAATCTTGGCTCCATCAGAAGATCATCTTAAGACATACTGCATTATAATGATTTATCTGAATGTGTATAGGAATGCGTATTTTCTTTTATGCAACTTCTTTAGATTGGCTCATTTAAAAAGCAGATTGATATTTCTTTATTTTGTGTATATATAGCTTTTTTGTCAATAAGGAAAATAAGTTATACATGACAAGTGTGGAAAAACATGAGACTTGCTGAATCTAACTATTTTTCAATTTATTTCTCTTCTCCCCCTCCAACACCCAATGCCCTAACCTATAGTCGAAGAGATTTAGAGATTGAGCGCCCAGTTCCTGGAGTAAATGTTGTTACTCTACAGTAAGTACCACAACTTCAGATGACAATGTCTTGGTGTTGGTATTTGTGAATCTATCCCAATTTGAGCTGTCCTGAATGATGTAAATGCTGTCACAGTAAAAGCCCATTGGCTGTCTTAAATGGTATGATAAGCTGGATATGCATTCTAAGTTAGCTATTGAAATAACATCTTCCAGTAGATTTTCCTGCTTGGTTTCAAATGCCTGCTGGTGCTTTTGAATACAAAAGGCTCTGGAAATACTTCCTGTAATTGACAGTCTTCTAGGAGGTTTGTGAACTGCCTCTCAGCTTTGGTTGATGATCTCATAAAGCATAGTGGTCTGTTTAAAAATTGTACAGAAAAAGAAAAATTGTACTCTTAAAGTAGTACAACTAAAAGCAATAAATATTTTTGCTTGTCTTGCTATAGGGAAGGCTGCAAGAACAAGTGATGGCTGTTTCATAGGGGAAGCAGTATTTATAAGGAAGAGGCTTTTTGACAGGGATTAGGTAGTAAAGAAAATAATTCTTATCTTGCCAATCTTGAGTTTTAAGTATGTTAAATTGCTTAGAAGATAGTGGTGGAGGAGATCTCCATTCTGTTTCAGGGGGACCATTACTTTGCAATTTTAGTGAACTTTTAAATAATGAATGTGGAACAAGTACAGTGTCACAAAGCTTCATCTACTGTGGGGAGACGTACAAGAAAAGATGAAAAAACATGGCTCGCCCAGTCATTAGAATAAAAAATTAGAGGTTTTTGTTTTATAAATGCTTATACAAACAAAATTGTGTAACCAAACTGTTACTTATTTTTCAAAATATTTAAAGCCTTAAGTTATTCAGGAAGATGGTTAAGATGGCCCTAGAAAAGAGGGAGAGCTAAGAATTCAGAGCAGGAGAAATGGACTCTACAGCAAGGTATGCCCCATAAATGGGTTGGGGGGGGGGGGTTT